TATTCTATTCTATTCTATTCTATTCTATTCTATTCTATTCTATTCTATTCTATTCTATTCTATTCTATTCCCATTGTTGCTATTTCTATTCTGCTCCGTTCCATTCTCTTCCTCTTCCCACTCTACCTTACTCTACTCTACCATACCGTAATGTGGAGCTAGTCCTCAGTTAAAGACCACTCATTCAGCAACTGTTCAAAGTTAGTATGGCTGAAAGAAGAGACCTCAGGACAGGTTCTCATATTTGTGGCCATCAGAGGGCCTGGCAGCTCTTGTGGGCTGGGATGCTTGTCAACTGACTAATTAATCGCAACGTCAGTCGCGTGACAAAATTGCCTTTTCTGGCCCATCCCAACAGCTTCTGACAAGCAAAGTGTGTGAGGAAGCCAAACCCACTCCATGCAGTGATTCACTTAACAACCATGGCAAGAAAGATTGTAAAACGGATCAAAACCCACTGAACAACTTTCATGGGAATATTTGGGCCAATTCTGCTTGTTCAATCGAGGATTATCTGTATATATTTAAGGCTGATTGATCTACTGTTAAGAGGACCAAAAGGCCGATCAAGAAAGTTGAGATTTCCAGGCTGGAGATTGAGTGGGAACCTTCAATTAATCGGCCTGAGAGGCTGACGGAGTTGGCTGGTCAAAGCAGAATCCTACCTCCTCCTTCACAAGGCCGTAGCAGAGGGGACACTCCTGGCATTGCTCACTTCCCGGGTCAAAGAAGTAGTTCACATCACACTGGTCACACTTGCTACCCACAAAGCCCTTGTTACAGTCACAACTGCTGTTGCTGTGGCACTGGAGGGAAACCGAACCAATCTGGGAACAGTTGCAGGCTGGAAAGGAAGAAAAAATGGCAAAGGCCCCTGGAGTTGGATCATTCACGAGGCCAACACCTTCCCCAAACGTTTATCTTCAGTGGGGACCAAACAAAGGAGAAATAACAGAATTAGAAGGGACCTTGGAGGTCTTCTAGACCAACCTCCTATTCAAACAGGAAACCCTATACCTGTTCCGACAGAGGCTTCCCCAGAGCCTGAAGCCGACTCCTGGTCCCAACAAAAAAACCCTTTTCTTTACTGACTGTGAATTCTGCCCATTCACCTCCAGCAAAGTCTTTCGAGGGAGGATTTATAGTCACAGACCTTATCTGGCTTGGAGAGCTGCCAGGCCTATATCTGCAAAAATTGGCAAGGAGTCTCGGAGGGTCACGAACCAATGAAGCGAACTGCAAACTCCCCTCCCCTTTTGCTCCTTTTTTATTTCCTCTGGGGGGTGGGCATTCATCGTCCCCCTGTGGCCTTCCTCCCAAGTTGACCCC